ATGAGCATTAGAATGAAGTTTCTTTATTAACCATTTAATGCTCCTATAACTTTTATTAGGGTAAAAAAAACAGGAGGACATGATGATATTTACTATTTTTACACACCAGAGGCTTTTAAATGAATTGTGAATCCAAAATATGCGTGTTAGAGAATGTACAAATGGTTAACATTGTTTGTGTCATATCAGTCAGAAAAGCAGTTCTGGCCTTTTTTTTTTTGCTAACTTAGTTGTTATTCTTGGCTGTACACAGTTTGGATTTTTTAATTAGCATGTTTTTGTGTTTTGCTTTGGTACTGAAATTGGTACTGAGAACCGTGGATTTTCACTGGTATTGGTACCGAATACTGAAATGTGGGTACCGTGACAACACTAGTCTGCAGTGAATTATTACATTTTCTTGACAGCTAGTAATCTTGATATATTTGATGTGTGTGTGTACATACATGCATACATACATACATACGTACGTACGTACACGTTTTATACTTTTTAGCAAGGATAAATTACATTTATCAAAAGTGACAGTAAAGATATTTACAGTTACAGAAGATTTCTATTTCAAACAAAAGCTGTTCTTATTAACTTTTTATTCATCAAGAATCCTAAAAAAGGTGGTTTCCACAAAAATATTAAGTAGTATAACCATTTTCAGCATTGATAAGGAATGTTTCTTGAGCATAAAATATAATAGGATCATGTAACACCGAAGACTGGAGTCTTCAGCTTTGCCATCACAGGAAAAAAAAATTACATTTGAAAATATATTAAATTAAAAAACTGTTAATTTAAATTGTAATAATATTTCACAATATTACTGTTTTTTGTTTATTCATCTATTTATTTGTTTGTTTGGATTTTTTAACAAATGCAGCATTGATCATAAAAGTCATCAGCATTTAAGGTCTGTTTTCCTTCAAGAAACATTCTTTACACTCTTATATCTTCAATAAATTGGATTAAGTCAGCTTTTAAAAGCACACTAGCACGTAGATGACCTCAAAGCTAGAAGACATTGACTAAAAGCCACAAAATGCTAACTTTAATTTTATGGGGTCTCTAACCTCCAGAGTAATATGCACAAAGTAATAAATGTCTTCATCAAGGGAGCAGACCAGCTTCAGTTCAGCTTAATGTCACAGTGCCGGAACCCCAGGGAACAAATCACAAAAGAAAAACTCAAACTGTGCTCTAATCTTCTGAAGATTACATCATATATTATTTTCTAATTGCAGTTGTGTTTAATTTCAGCTGAATGGCATGTTGCCTGCTAATGCAAACCAGATGGACATCCACTAAAGCGAATACAAATCATAACATTTGCACACTGGAATGATTATGGATTTCATAGCTAGTACACAAAGATCCATCCTTCTCTGTGCGCGTCATCTGTAGGTTTCACGTTGCTTTCACCATGAAAGTCTTCCTTTGAGGTTAAAGAACCAATGCATCTGGTTTTGGGAATGATTTGAGACATTAATGAATAGTGGGTGCAAAAGTAGACAAAGGGCTGCTCTGTTGCCAGGAATAGGAAAGCAGCATTGAAATCCCAGGAATGCTGAAGAAATGTGCCGATGTGTGCAATGAAAAGTGAATAGGAGGAGGAGGTGGAGGTGGAGGAATAAAGGAAAATGCTCTGAAAAATATTAAGGCCAAACCAGCTTCCAAATACCATTAGCTGATGAACTGAATCCCTACTTTTGACATGGGAAAAACTCAATTGCTAATTCTGCGAGACTGTATTAGAAAATAGGAGACTGGGGTGGGTTTTTTGAGCATTATGTGGTTTCTAGGGTGTTACTAGGTGGTTACTTAATGGCCCAAGTCAAAAGAGGCCAAACCAAAGACATGCACTAAATATAGCTCGGTCCCTCATTTAAAGGCACCGTTCACCCAAAAATTAAAATTCTTGTAATCATTTACTCACCTTCATGTTGTTTCAAATGTTGTACTAATAACACTTTGGTTAATCTTCAAAACACACATTTAGATCTTTTTAAATGTAATCTGAGAAGTTTATGTTCCTCCATTTAAAGTCCAGGTAACCAAAACCTAAAAGATCCAAAAATCCATATGAATAGAGCGGTACAAGCCTAAATTATATTTGTTGATCATATAATGCAATCGTATCTCTTCACAAGACTTGGATTAAACCTCTTGATTCAAATGGATTTATTTTACCACGCCTTTGTTTTACAATGTTTTGGTTACCTGGACTTTCAATGGAGAAATACTTGCATGAGGGTAAGTAAATTAATATAGATTTTTGATTTTTGGGTGATTTACCCCCCTATCCATACGGGATGACAGTGCATGTTTAGACAAAAACAAATAAATCAAAATGCTTTGAAAATAATAGTAACCACTCCTCACCTCAACGACTATTTTTCATGCCTGTATAGCACAATCAATGCAGGATGTGTTACATGACAAAGTTTAAAACACAAGATTAGTGGTTTGTTCAAATCCTTAGCAAGCACCACCAATTATTATGTTTAACATCAAATGTTCAAGCAGTCTCTATAAATAAACCACGGTTCCATTTCATCCCTCTCCTGTTTGAATGACGGCCTTATGCGCCTAAGCCCATAAAACCTCACTCTTTAACATCTTTGTTCTCCCACTGAGGAGAAGGGGGGGGGAAAGAGACCACCCGTCTTCAAATTACTCCACTTTAGAACCCGTGGACAGAGCATATCTTCATTACCTTATGACCTGTTTAGACCCAGCGTGATTTAACACTGCATAACTTGACAGTTCAGCACTGTAAGAGGGCATAGACTTCCACCAAGATGAATGAACCACCGCCCTTCATATCAGACTAACAAATCACCTTTAACAGCATAGTACAATCTCAAACGACAGAACAAACACACCTAATGATTAACCTCCTGTCACGCTAATGACTCGCTGATGTCAACCTGAACACAGGAAGCCGTCTGGCTGGAACATTCCTTTGAAAAGTGTTTATTTTACTGTGTTGTACCAAACCTCCAAATTTTAATATTGGAAATAAACGTTCCAGTGTAGGTCATGTGATTAGTTTTAAGGTAGTAAATGGTGATAACATGCCAGTTTGGTGCTTTACAATAGAAATAGTCCTTTGAGGCCTTACATAGAGAGCCACTGAACTATAAAGTGAATAAATGATCCATCGGAATGGACTTCTCTCTACTTTTAGCAATTTTCCATTTCTTTAAAGCAACGCTGAAGTGGTTCCTGCAGTTTTACTAAAATATCAGAAGATAGCCTTCATTTTTAAAATGATTGGCATCATTTTTGCCATGTTAGCTCTAGCGTGAGGAGATGCTGGTATCTGTTCAATCCTGTAATGAAATCATTCTTCATAAACACAAGATCCTGCACTGCGCTTTATGAGAAGTTAAATCAGGTTAGGAATGACACGCACAGACACGCTCCTACTATTGCATAACATCTGGCAGCAGCAGGCAGCTTTACGACCGGCTCTCACACTGACAGATGAAGTCACCATTTTGACTGAAGCAGACATTTAAGGGAGTGTTAGTGCAAGTCAGCTATACAGATGTGCAAGGCTGCACGTTATACTACCAAGTCAGACAAAGCAAGGGAAATTGTGATAACGTTGTAAAGTCTAGCAGAGCTAAAACCATAGAAAATCTAGCTGATATTGTTTCCTTGATATTTAGAAGCTGATATTCACATAAAATAATTTAAAAACAGTAAATGAGACATCTATTACCAAATGGCAAAGCTTTCAGGAATTTTTTTTACTTTAATGCCATTTCTAATAAAATTGAACATGTCGTTGGGCCATATAAATGTCCATACATGAAGACACAAGACTTGTTAAAGGAGAAGTATGCAATTTCTGCCACACTAGCATAAATGAGCGAAACTGGCTGTTTTCAAATCATTTTCTCAAACTCGTGCGGAGGTGTGCTTCTTGTACAATGATGTAACTCACTGCTTAACTACTGTAGAATGGTAATAGAAATAGATAGATATAATAGATAGAAAAGACCCCCCCAAAAAAATAAAAAATAAAATAAAAACATGCTTCTAACTACAGGTCGAGAGCATACATTTCTGCAATAATGTTTGTGAATGTTCGTTGAAACTACAGTTTCGGGAATTCCGAAATATTGGTAACAATGGCACATGTGACCACAGCTGTCTAACAATGCTTTTGGGAAACACACCACTGATCAGAAGTCACAATGACAGTACAGAGTAACAATGTGTACTCAACCTACAAATAGCTTACTTATGGTTCCCTCCCTGTGCATATTAATCTGAGATAGAATAAAGTATTTTAACATGAAAATGTACAGGCAGCATTTTTATCCAAATCAAGGCCTCATTGTATTCATATACATACAAAATGACCTTTCAGGTCCACAACAGCACTAGCTACCAGAGCTTGTGTCTATACTGCAAACAACACTGCTCATACAAGGAATGGAACTTCTGCATCTGGACCTGATCTGTTCAATATGCTCCATTGGAGGTGCTATTAAGACAGGATTCAATGACCTTAAAGAGAGAACAACGCATGCTGGAAACTAAAAGCATAACATATCCTTGTGAGGAGACATCTGAATGGAGTTCTGAAGCAGCCCTTTTCTTATGGGGTTGATATCAAGCGGTGACATGTTTCTGAAGGAATGCAAGTTTTGAAATAGACCTCATGAAGCACTGAGCACACTTTTCTTATTAACTCTATTGCATTTCCTTATGAGGTGTGTTTGATGGCTTTCTGCGTGCAGAGGCGGGACTGTAAACTGACACAGAATTGAATGAAATTGGATGAAAACACCTTGAGTGAGTGATGGGTTCACGTTATCTAAATTAAGTCTGCTAAACGCCTTGTTGTGTTGTGATGAACCTTGTTCATCATTTGTCAAAATGAAAGGGAACAAACGAGATGAATACATAATTTATAAGCAGCTAAAGCTTAAGCTGTAAACAAAGCAATGGGTCTATTACCCATCACTACATCCAAGATGGAGGTCACTTACTCTTGACACGGTCAGGGGCATGTTGAAGTCCTTGCCTCCCTGAAGCCGAAAACCCCAGGGAGCAGGTCCGTTGAGCGTTACACTATATATATTCATGGCCTAAAGAGAAAACAAACACAGAAGAATGATTATAGTTTCATTACATCACAGTAATAATATTATAAGTGATTCAGAGCGCCTAACAAGGCTGAAACCAAACATTCCAGACCCACACACGTGAACCGTGTCTGGTATGCTGTTGACGTCTGACTGTCTGTGAATTAAACCCAACAAACTTTTTTGAACTGGAAGATACATTGAACAATTATATAGTAGAATATTTAACAATATATAGGATATTAAAATTTACCCTGATTCATATAGTACACTCACATAAAGCTATATATACTAGAAAGAAATACTAGACATTTCTAAAAAAAAAAAAAAATTATAATAATTTTTTTTTGGCCATCTGTGGCTTCATGAAGAACCTTTAACATCCATGGAACCTTTCATTGCACAAAAGAAAAAAAAATGTTCTTTTTAGAACTCTTCACTGAAAGTTTCTTTGGGGAACCAAAAATGGTTCTACTATGGTATCACTGTGAAAACCCCCTTTTGGAACCTGTATTTTTATGTGTACATCAAAACTCATCTCTGTGGTTGCTTAAACGATGTTATCGCAAAGGTCTCTATATAAAGTTGGATATCCAACTTGACAATTGAAAGCAAGTTTTCAGGTTTTAATGCATTTGGCTCAAGATTAACATTACTGAAACCATTTGAAAACACTTTTATTCCTGCGTGACCAATTGTTCATGGTTAAACAGTAGTGTTCATGGAAACATTTGAGAACCGGCTTATTTAAATGAATTATCAGGTAGGTGACAGAAATAAGCACCTATATACTTCCATTGCGTGGTGAACTGCAAATTACTGGTCAGTGATACACAATGAAAGTGCACATTATCTACACTCAAATCTGTGAGAACCCAGAACATTTTAAAAGCTCAACATAGATTTATAGCACTCAGTGGCTGTTCGAATAAAGCAAACACTCAATGACCCACTTATGTGTGGTGACAGCAGATTAATTTAACAACTAATGAGCCATTTTATTCCTGAAACACTAAAATAATCCACTGCTGGCACCTCCAGCACACCATTGCATCACTGTGTTAATTATGTTACAGGTTGGTACAAGAGCAAATAGTAACATGACATAAAATTGAAACCCAAGGACGAGCAGAGACCCCCAAATCATGACATTTTCCCCCTCCCTGTGACTTATGGTCCTCAAACTCCAGAGGCTATCCTATCCCACATGGAATTTACCTGTTGTAGGGTGGCGTGCCGCACACATACCTTATGCCACGGGCCAAACTTGTCACCCAAACCTCCAGAAAACCAAGTGGAAATCTGGCACTGCGAGACAGCCTGACTTTCTCACTGCTGGCAAAGCTCAACTCCCTCCCCTCCTTCTTTGTGACACGGGTTCGCTCCACGTCGCTCTTACTCCACAGGCTATATAAGGAATGTAAAACTACACCAAACTATTTCAGCCCAACACCCACGAGTCACGGAGAGGGGGAAGAGAGACCAAGAGAGAGAGAGAGGGAGGGAGGGAAGAAAGGAAGTGAAAAAATTTACTTCCTCAGATTCTCTAGCTCTAGATGTAACATTTAAACCCATAAACTACTAGAAAAAGTCATCAGAAGGCAGGTTGGATGGGTGGGAAGCCAAATGAACATTCCTCTCAATGTGGATACCATATGCTTCATGGTTGCACCCACGGTTGGGTATAAGACAGCAACTTGAGAGTGCAGCGGCACCGTTTTGCCCTGCGGTAAAACTGCAATTGAGAATACATTACACATTCTGAATGGTCTTTTCGCACGGTGCGAATAACATATGTTTTGGATGGCAAAACCGTTACCACCCAAAGCAGGTTATGTCATTGAATACAATGAGAGGACAAAACTGCTGCTGTTGTCGTACCCTGCGGTAAAACTGTAATTGAGAGGGCACTGTACTTTCTCAAAGGTCTCTTTTCTGGCGCATTTCAATTTTCCATTAAATACCTCCAAATACATACATTCCTTTGTAAAATTATTTATTTTTAAAATAGCATTCATTCAGAAGTCTGACATTTCATCCCCTGTGGTGAATTTTACTGTATTGCTTAAGAATTGATAAAACTGAAAAAGGACATAACTATGCATAAAACAGTTAAGTGTTCAAGCAGTCTGAATTAATTTCTGTCAATGGGGTTATGTGAGTGCAAGAACAAATCCTGTACTTTGCAAACTGAACCCAGAACATTTTAAAAGCTCAACATAGATTTATAGCACTCAGTGGCTGTTCGAATAAAGCAAACACTCAATGACCCACTTATGTGTGGTGACAGCAGATTAATTTAACAACTAATGAGCCATTTTATTCCTGAAACACTAAAATAATCCACTGCTGGCACCTCCAGCACACCATTGCATCACTATGTTGATTATGTTACATGTTGGTACAAGAGCAAATAGTAACATTACATAAAACAGAAAGTCAAGGACAAGCTGAGACCCCCAAATCATGACATTTTCCCCCTCCCTGTGACTTATGGTCCTCAAACTCCAGAGGCTATCCTATCCCACATGGAATTTACCTGTTGTAGGGTGGCGTGCCGCACACATACCTTATGCCACGGGCCAAACTTGTCACCCAAACCTCCAGAAAACCAAGTGGAAATCTGGCACTGCGAGACAGCCTGACTTTCTCACTGCTGGCAAAGCTCAACTCCCTCCCCTCCTTCTTTGTGACACGGGTTCGCTCCACGTCGCTCTTACTCCACAGGCTATATAAGGAATGTAAAACTACACCAAACTATTTCAGCCCAACACCCACGAGTCACGGAGAGGGGGAAGAGAGACCGAGAAAGAGAGGGAGGGAGTGAAGGAAGAGAAAACATCTACTACCTCAGATTCTCTGACTCTAGATTTAAACCCATAAACTACTAGAAAAGACATCAGAAGGCAGGTTGGATGGGTGGGAAGCCATTCCTCTCATCCTCTCAATGTGGATACCATATGTTTCATGGTTGCACCCACTGTTGGGTATAAGACAGCAACTTGAGAGCACCGTTTTGCCGTTTTGCCCTGCGGTAAAACTGCAATTGAGAATACATTACACATTCTGAATGGTCTTTTCGCACGGTGCGAATAACATATGTTTTGGATGGCAAAACCGTTACCACCCAAAGCAGGTTATGTCATTGAATACAATGAGAGGACAAAACTGCTGCTGTTGTCGTACCCTGCGGTAAAACTGTAATTGAGAGGGCACTGTACTTTCTCAAAGGTCTCTTTTCTGGCGCATTTCAATTTTCCATTAAATACCTCCAATTTCATACAGTCCTTTGTAAAATAATTTATTTTTAAAATAGCATTCATTCAGAAGTCTGACATTTCATCCCCTGTGGTGAATTTTACTGTATTGCTTAAGAATTGATAAAACTGAAAAAGGACATAACTATGCATAAAACAGTTAAGTGTTCAAGCAGTCTGAATTAATTTCTGTCAATGGGGTTATGTGAGTGCAAGAACAAATCCTGTACTTTGCAAACTGCATGTAACTCAGTATTGTCCTAGAAACTATACATAAACTATAATCATTTGTATTTTCTTCCGTAAGAAGAAATAAGACAAAAGTCAAGGCCTTTGATCATTTAAACTAAATACAATCTCCAGTAAACTTGGATTTAACTCTGTTAAATCTTACAACTAAAATATCTTTGTTTTGTTTTGTTTTTTAAATCAATTTCCTACAGAGACGATATTTAGTTTTTTAGAGAATCCAGATTAGATGCAAAACCACATTCAAATGTAAACTAATGTATTACTAATTGCCTGTTAGGAAAAGTCCCAAAGTAACCAACTCATAGGCTACTGTATTAACATGCCGCATTAAATCATAAAGCCACATTATAGCAATCTTCAATTACATCATAAATCAAATACACACAGCTCAAACTGATGCAGAAGTTTGCCATCGTAACCAGTTATAGTCTTCTGTAATACTTCTCATTAGAGAGACTATGTAACCTAGAAACGTGATACACTCTTCTTTAAAGCTCGGCTGCAGCCGGTACATCCAAAAAGAAGTTGGGAAGCAGTGCGTTTACCTCTTTCGGATCGGCAGACATCGCAGCCTTCAGTCTTCTGATCTGATGGGCTGTTATAAGGAGATCAAGTAAACTTCACAACTTTCTGGACTCGCGCGCAGTAGCCGCAGGTTTGCTCTGTTGGATTTTCTTTTAGTAGGACTCTGATTATACGTCATGCGTCACGTGGCGGGGGGGGGGGGGGGGGTTATGGTACACAACGGTAAATGGTAAAAAAAAAAGAGTAGTTTTTCTATAAAATTATGATTTTCTTTTCTATTTAAATGCATATTTCTTTTAGAAATTGATAGATTTATATTCTTGGAACTCATACAAACCAAAAATACGTAGATCCCTATCATTTAACCTTCACTGAAGGCTCACTCATCCTCACTCTCATCACATGGAAGAGCTAACTTCGCACTCTTCCTATTGGTCTTTCCATAAAATAGCCTATTGCTGCATTCATTTTCTGAAAAGAAGAAATTATTTTGTTATTTATACATAAATACAACTATACTACAACTATAAACACTTCAAATAAATAAATAACTGCAATCATATTATTGATGCTACTATCTATAAACAATCCCAATGGGGAAATACATTACTGCAGTTCCACTATGGTACAGAGTAGCCATATGGCAACATACCTATTTTTCCCGTATAATGGTACAGCATTGCCATAACGAAACATTGATATTTTCTCAGTTAAAAGTAATACTAATGTTAGTTAAATCGTGAATAAAAATGATCTAATTTACTTAACAAAGATGCTGCAAACCTCCCCATTAGAAGAGACGTTTAGAAATGAGGTTAATAGAGCAATTTCTGGAACACTTCAACAGGTGTCTTCAGTGTGAGGGTGACAGTGGGAAAAAGAGTTTTGGACAGACATTCAAATGTCAAGTGACTTAAAAACAGCATATTGTCTATCTTAATAAGAATAAGGCCTCACTCTTCTAATTCCCATAGTGCAATATTGTAATTTTTTTTCAGAATAACAAGGAGATGAGTAGAAATTAATTATTGCCAATAATTATAATAATATCCGTACCATAAGGGGTTAAAAATCATTTTATTCCATTAACATTTTTAAAGATGAAAAAGGAAAACAAGTCATCACATCACCGTATGAACTATGGCAAACACCTTGATGCAGGGTCGAAATCTGAATTACGTACTGACTCCAGCAGATGGAGACAAAGCACCACAAATCTACTGTGCGTTCACATTATTGTTACAGAAAATTTCCCTGCCCTCCCACCAAGAGCTGCGTGTCATTCAACTCACAGCCAACCTGCTGCCATAAACAAAGTAACAATTATTGTATATACTTTTACAACGCGCAAATCTGTCTATGTTTGACCTTTAACAACTAATGTAAGTTTATTTTTCGTGGAACACTCCTAACTTGCTTGAAGAACAAAACAGCTGGAGGGTTTTAGTGCAGCTTTACGGAAGCCGGTGTTACTTTGTTAAACATGGCTGACGACTTTGGCTTTTCGGCTTCCGACAACGGAGTTCATGCAGAAGAAGATCCGGCCGCGGCGTTTCTGGCGCAGCAGCAGAACGAGATCGCCGTGATCGAGAACGACAGCGCCGGGTTCAGTGCGCTGGAGGACGGCGGACCTCCGCCCGCGAACACCTACACGTCGTTCGGAGGTGATTGTGTCATGCTGGCCTGCTTGCTTGCACTTAAACATTATTACGCTTTTTATTATATTATTATACGACTATTCAAGTTTGTATTTAGTGTAAACAATGTAAAATCTTACTACAATAACCTTATTTCATATAAGTACCAGTAGTACCATTCTTGAAATTGTACCATGGTATACTTGGAGTACCATGTACATACTATATATGAATATGGTACTAAATGAGTGCCATATCACTTACAAATAAAGTACCATGATTTTTGACAATTCCATACAAAAAGTACTTTGGCAGTACTGAAATTATTGTACCATGATATTTACTAGTACTTTTAAGAATCCCATGATACATGTCCTAAACATATTGTGTATATATATATATATATATATATATATATATATATATATATATATATATTACCACTGGATACCGCCATTGTACAATAGTACTGCTACAGCACTTTTTAGTAAAGGATAGTGCACAATTACAACCACAATTACAAGTTTACAAAATAATAACAACCATATGTGTTGTTTGTTAATATTAATCGTTGTTACTAATAACAATATAGCAAAGATGCTGTAATATGAATTGTGTGGGAAGTGATTTACAATCATAATCATCATCAAAATGATCCATAAGCTGACAGTCGTGGAGAGAGATTATTTATAATTGACAACAACCATGAAGACTTTGATATATATTTGGATTGCTGAGTTTCATTAAGATAATAAAGTGAACCCCAAGCTAATACGCACCAAATCAAGTTTTGTGGTCAAAGTTTTTCAGTAGTCTTAACATGACATGTTCAGCTTTCATGCTGGAGTTAAAGTCACACCTGTCACACTATCAATTTAAGACGAGCAAGCAAACTGGAAAGGCGCACTAGTAAAGGCTATTTGTGAATAACAAAAGAGTAGAGACAATCAAGGTTGCTGAACTAAACCATTTTGAAAAGTGAACACACACCAGCCCACCTGCAGACTAGATCCAGAAATTGTGAGAGAGCTCTTTACATACTCACGGTCCAACAAGGTGTGCTGCATTCCAGTGATGTTTGTAAGGTTTCTATAGTCAACGTAGCGTAGAAACTGTTGCCTAACAAGTGCTTAAACTCATGTTGTTTCTTCTATTTGAGCGCAGGTGATTTTGGAGAAGCACCAGCTACTGCTGTAAACGGAGATATGTTTCAAGTGAGTGTGGTTAGAAAAGCATCAAATCTTGTCATATTAAATGCTCTTGTTTGTTTTTATGTACTACAACACAATTGGCAGTTGTGCCAGGAACAGACGTTGTTAACGTTACATTACTTGAAACATTAGGACACCAACGGCACAACAGACAGCTACTCAGCCATTGCCCAAGTCGACATACAGAGACAAGAACCTGAAAGCCTTCGCAAATGGAGGGAGGAACAAAAGGCTCGGCTGGAGGAATTAGGTACTGAATAATTATAAATAACTGTGAGCAGGAAATTGTGCTTTTTGTGTTTGTGTGTTACAAACTGGATAGACTGCCATGTTCAATTAAGACAATTATTTGGCATATCACAATATTATATGGAGGAAATTTCTCAGGTGAAAGCCTTGGCTCTTAAAAGCTGGTTTAACGGTATTTAATTTAAAAAGCTCTATTTCTTTTATTTCTTTATTTTTTATTATTATGTTTTTTTCTTCAATTTAAAACCAGTCAATTAATAGTGCTTTTGACAAATATGTTTACAATTATCCAGTTTATTCCACAAAAAGCTGGTCTCTTAATATGGTGGCCAACATGTTTAGATCACTTAGATCGCGTTGACAGTTGAATTCTAATAATTTAATCTCTTTAAAAAAAAACATTCGTGTTTTGTGAAACAAATGAATCATGGGAACAGAGTACTTCCACAGTGGCAGCAGTAGTCAAAAACATTCACTTTAAGTTATGCTACAGCCATGTAATAGACATCAGTATTTATTATTTGCTAGCAAAACATTAACAAAATGTTACAAATAAGAAAAGGTACACACTTCAATGGAAAATCAGTTAAAAGCCTTTATTCAAGTAGCTGATTTATAATAGGAAAAAAGCCAAATGTATTATGATCTCACATATGAGGATAAATCTTGCTTGCTTACTTGTTTATTTATTACTTTAAAAGAAAGAAAAGTAATCTAGCAATTTGTGTGTTGTGTATGAACTTTCTCTGTTTTCTGATGTGCAGATGCAGCTTCTAAAGCAGCTGAGGCTGTGTGGAGGGAAAAGGCCCGGAAGGAACTAGAGGACTGGCAAGTACACCAGAGTGAACAGATGGAGAAGAATAAAGCCAACAACAGGTATTTTCACTCTCTAACATCCAGGCTTTATTGATTGAGCTGTATGTATTTGTTAGTGAAAATTAGGATACAGACAGTTGTGAACCACCAGTCCATACGAGAAAAGACTTGTAATGGAGAACTTTAAAAATATGTATATATTTGTCAAACTCTAAAATACAGGCCAGTTTTATTGTTTACTATTGACATTAGTATAATTTTAGCTGATTTAAAGATATTTGTTTTTTGAGATTTTTTTTATATTTATAATATGTTTTAGATGAGGTCTCATCTTTCTCATACTCACAAGTAAATGTAATTAATCCATTATGAGTCTTACTGCTGAGAAACTAAAGCCAGCCACCTCTCACACTTCTCAACAGACTCTTGCATGGTATCTGATTCCCTCTGTTTTTACTGTAGTTTTTCATGTGCACAGAGAAGACTGTTCCGAATGCTGTCTGCATGCTTTTAATTCTTGATAACAATCACGTCGACTTTGACTTGTGTCATATTGTGAATAGTTGTAATTTTTTATTGGGTGTACCATCCGTTTTATTCACATTACAGTATTGTGATTGTGTGTGTGTGTGTGTGTGTGTGCGCGCGTTTTTGTGACAAATGAGGACATGCATTTGTATAATGACAAAGGTATGACATAGGTATTACAAAGAGAAGGTGACTTTTCAGGACATTACCCCATGTCCCCACTTTTCAAAACGCTTATAAATCACACAGAATGGAGTGTATTGAAAATCTGAAATAGCACAAAGTCTCCTGTGAGGGGTAGGTTTAGGGGTAGGGTTGGTGTAGGGCAATAGAATATACGGTCTGTACAGTATAAAAACCATTACGCCTATGGAATGTCCCCACTTTTCACAAAAACAAACCTGAGTGTTTGTGTGTGTGTGTGTGAATTTATAGCAGAGAGAGATACAAAGGCACATGTCAAGTTAAATAATCAATAAAGGAATGTTCCAGGTTCAATGCGGGTTAAAAATGTAGTGTTATTCCTCAGAAACAAAAATCGTATTTACAGTAATGCACTTACAATTCGTACTGAGGGGATGATCAAACTGATTGGATAGCATATGATGTTGTATCTTCAGTCTTCTTGATATCATGAAAAAGTATTTGATGTACTTTAACACTTCTTTTCATGGGCAGCTTGTGCGAGACTGACTTTCTTCTTATGTATTTCTCTCTCTTTCACTCTCCGGCTCCCATGTTTCTCTTCCTTTCATTTCTCTTCTTTTATTTTCCTCTTCCTACTGTTCTGCCTGTTTATGCATTAGGATCGCTGATAAGACTTTCTACAAACAGCCCAACTCCGATGCCATTGACTTTGTGTATGTTTAATGCAAATCTGTGAAATTGCACGTAATTGCACTCAAGTTTCTTGCTTGCGTTACATAAACAACCATTCATAAGTTTGAGGTCAGTACGATTTTTTCAAATGAAAAGTCTCCTGTGCTCTCCAGGGCTGCATTTATTTGATGAAAATATACAGTAAAAACACTAACATTGTGAAATATTATAAAAATTTAAAATAACTGTTTTCTATTTGAATATATTTTAAAATGTAGTTTATTTCTGTGATGGCAAATCAGGATTTTCTACAGATATTACTCCACTCTTCAGTGTCACATGATCCTTCAGAAATCATTCTAATATGCTGATTTGGTGCTTTAGAAACATTTGTTATTATCGATGTTAAAAACAGTTGTGCTGCTTAATATTTTTTGGGAAATGTTTCTTTCATGATTTTTTGAGGAATAGAAAGTTCAAAAGGACAGCATTTATTTAAATATGCTTTTGATCAATTGAATGCATCCTTACTGAATAAAAGTATCAATATCTTTCCAAATCTTACCGACCCCAAAGTTTTGAACAGTAGTGTAATCACATACAGGCTTTATTTCTCACTCCATTTAGAGATGGACCAATGATCTGTTCCACCAACATTTTTAAAGATAATCACACTTTTCTACTTACATTCTTGTTAACAGGTCTATAACTTCCACTTTTCTTTCTAAAGTGAGGAACACTTGACTTAACATGCCTACCCAAAAAGATGAAATATTAACATCAAATATCTTCTGATTGGCTGTGATTGTCACAGTTTCACATTCAGTGTGTTTAGACCTGGCTAGGACAAAAAATAATCTCTATTGGGTGTAGAAAATAATGTTGGTCGATCTCTAATTTCATTTGAGATTATGATAAGTGACATGGCTCTTACCTGAGCATCTGTGAAGTGTTGGTTCTCATGATTCTCTCCTATTGTCCATGTAGAGTGTCAGAGGAGGCCTTCCTCAAGGACTGCGATGATGACAGACCTGGAACAGAATGGGACAAAGTGGCCCGACTATGCGACTTTAACCCCAAAACCAGCCGTCAGACTAAAGACGTGTCTCGGATGCGCTCTGTTCTTATTTCTCTAAAACAAATGCCCCTGCTTCGCTAACATAACTCCCTCTTGTATTTCCTAGGCTTTCTTTCTTGTTCCCTCTTGCACTTTATTTTAGTGAGGT